CACAGGAGAATCCAAGTGAATATACCTATGCTTTGAATTTCAATTTCATTAAATGTTTGAGCTCCAGTTTTAAAGTGGGCTCCAGTTCTAAACTTTAAATTGTTTAATTTTAATAGAATAAAAAAATTTCTGTAGCCCCCTTCCTCTTCAAAATCACCCCAAACAAGAAACAAATACATTTTACTTTGGAGGAAACAAAGCCACATCTGTAAGCACAAACCAGAAATGTGCAAGTAGAAAATAGAGAGATGGTGAACAACACAAGGCTTGTGTGTCTTGACAGGCAGAGAATGGAATAGGGGAGAAGCAAGCCAGTTCATGGGCAAAATCAGGAATTGGAGGTGATTATCTGAAGGTATGCAGAAGAAACTAGTAGATTCCCAGGCCCTCAGGTCTATCCCATTCAACCAAGTGACGATGCTTTTTTTAAGTTAAAAATTATTGTGTGTATTTGAATATGGTGCACGTGTTCAGGATCAAAGGACAACTTTGTGGAGTTGGTTCCCTCCTTCCATCTTTGCATAGCTTCCAAGGATCAAACTTTTTTTTTTTTTATGCGTTGCTAGGCTTGGGTGACAAATTCCTTTGCCTGATGAACCCATCTCCATCTCCTTGGCCCTGTCTAGTTTTTTTTTTTTTTTTTAAGATACAGTCTCACTGTGCAGTCCAGTCTGCCCTCAAACTCTTGATTCTCCTGCCTCAGTCTTCTGAGTGCTATTATTACAGGCTTGTACCCCCACTGGAGCTTGTCTGGCTCCAGCTGACTATTCTTCTTTTTGATATAAATCAGTCAAGGCATATGGGAATCTCTCATTTCTATACTTTCACACAGCAAAACCCATATGCAAGCCATCCAACAATATCTGCCTGTAGATAGTGGGAAGGATTTTACTTTTTTCAGTAACACATTTATCTAACCAGTATTTACTGACAACCTGCTGTGTACCACAAACTATCTTCTGTCATGTGTAGGGGTCATACACACACACACATGCACAGACACAAAAACAGAAGAAGTTCCATGTAATGTACATGCAGAACAGAGTTTATTGGTAAAACTTTATGGTATTTTATTATCTATTTATTAATTTTCGGCAATTCCATACATGCATAGAATGTATTGTGACTATATTCACTCCACCTTACCGGCTTAATCTGATTTGTCCTTCATTCTTTTTTTTTTTTTGCTTCTATCTGCATTTATTTTATGCTCTATTTATTCCCTTGCCATGAGTTTTTTTTTTCTTTCTTCAGTTTCTTCTGGGATATCTTTTTCTCTTGTGCAATCTCCTCTTGGCTCCTTTTCAGTGAGGATCATTTCAATGTGATGGGGAGCACATGTACAAATCCGACCATGAGATCTGTAAATTCTGCCGCACATCTTGGGTGATTTGCTCACCTGGATATGCTCAATGACTAGAGACTCTGCATCTACACCCTAAAGTTCAGCATTACTATGCATTTTTAAGCATGTGCAGCAAAAATTCAGCACTGTTTTAGGGGCCACTGACCCTGTGTCCAGCCCCACTGTTTGTCCTGGACACCTACCAACTCCACCGTTATACCACCGGAACCGCACACACTGCTCCTTTAAAGTGACGTCTTGCAGATACTTGTAGGCTTTTCAGATATGCATACCCTTGATGGCCTGGGCAGTTTCATGGGTATTCTTAAAGTGAACACAAAGATTGAAACCTCTTGATTTGCATGATTCTGTAGGGTTTTCTGGGTCAAGAGAGTAGCAACCCATTTTCACAGGTCACCTCGGGGCCGCTTACAGGAAGAGGCCCCTTCTTTTTTTTTAACTTTTAAATTAATTAATTTATTTTATATGTATGAGTGTTATGCCTGCATGTATGTAAGTGTGTGCACCTGTGTTGTGCCCATGGAAGCCAGAAGAGTGAGTCAGATCCCCTGGAACTGGAGTTACAGATGGTTGTTAGCCACCATGTGGGTGCTGGGATTCAAACCTGGATCTTCTGCAAGAGCAGCCAGTGCTCTTAGCTGACTCATCTCTCCAGCCCCTTGGTTCCCACTCTTGCTGACCTCTTTCTTTTCTCAATTCATCCCTCTTTTTTATTTCCTGGTGAAAACTCATATAAACAGAGAAGTAGCAGAACTTGTAATCTCTCCTTCCATCAGCACACAGCGGAGGCAGTGCGGAGATGGGCTGTGTGGACCCGGGCCAGTGTGTGAGTGCAAATGGAGAGACTGGGCGTGTGCAACCTGACATGTATTTCTAGTGTGGGGGAGGAGAACAGAGATTTATGGAACTGGAAGATGCTGTTTGATATAGAAAGGACTCTTGGAACTCCATGGTTGTTCTTCCTTTGAGTTAAACAAGATCTGCGGAGAGAGCTCTGGGCTAAGGCTGTGGAAAGAGACCATCTGGACCCACCCCTTCTCAGTCCAACTTCTGGAACGTGAGACTCTTAATGCAATTCTCTATGCTGTCTTTAGTCGGCATTGAATTACACCAGATTTTATGTGTTTGTTCTCAAGTGGGGTGTCAATCAAATCTCACACTGCTGGGCCAAGTGATGGAAAACCATGCTGAACACTGAGAAGTGATAGAAGGCTTCTGGGTTAAGGTCAGTTTGTATCATTAGTAGAAAATAGAGATTTTTAAAACTATCTTTAACCCCACCTACTTCCATTCCTTGCCCATTAGTCACGGCCTGTCCTCGTCTCTCCAGGATCACCTACATTTCCCTTTTCTGGGTTCATGTATTCTACAGAACATAAGGGTTGCCACTTTACAACCATGAGTGACCTTTGAGGAAAGGAGAGTAGACCCACAGCAGCCAGGGTCCGAATCCACATCTACTCAGGTGTTCTCAAGAGCAATGGGAATTGTTCATCCATTGAGGTCAAACTGAGCATGCAAAATGTTTGAGTGTTCAAGACAAAAGAGGGCATACTATCCTGCTTTATACATTCTTTACTGCCCTCTGATTCCTGGATGCCACAGTAGCTTGGCCATGAAAGAGGGAGACATAACTGCAAAGGAAAATAACCCCAAGCACGGAGATTTACCCAAGTTTAGCACAGTTTATGAGTCTTATAACTTTGTAGTTAACAATGGTTTTTGCATAAATTTAAAGAGTTTCTTGCCAGGTATTCTAGTCCTTTATTGAAGTTCCCCTATTGGAAGGCTTTTGACCATTAATCTATTTGGCTTCAGCAGAGATGTTCATTAATATTTTTAGCAAAGTACTTGCTTTAAGACATGGGCACGTCATGTGAGCTTGTAGACCAGACACCAAACTGAGTTTACAATGAAGGCATTGTATCTGATTCATCAGGAGGCCCCCAATATTCTCATTCTGTGGCCAAATAGTGTGAAAGTACAGTTCAAAGGTGCCAGACTGACTCTTAGTCTCGGGACAGTTTGTATGGCTAGTACCACTTGATGTTCAGAGCATTACACAGAGCATCCAGCACAATTCTTCTATACTATGCTGAATTAGACTTGCCACTATTGATGGTAAACAGTTTTATTAGTGAACTCTGTTGTTTTCAGGTTTGGGGACTTGTAGGTGAAGCTCCAGAAGGCTAAGATATTTTATTCTTAATCAGAGATGCCATTTCCATTTCTCATGAAATTTGTTGAGGCTTAAACCACTGTGCGAATTCAAGTCAGAGAAGACCCATTGCAGGATGGGTTTGGTGTTGTGACTTTTTTTTTTTTTTTTGGTGAATTCATCTGTGTCCCCTGGGGCCCAGTGACACTGAACAATAGTAGCCACTTTAGCAATGGGAGAAAGTTCTATAGTCCCCAAAGCCTAGAATAAATAAGTTGTGATGGGTTCTTATTTTGCAAAACCTTAGCAAGTTTCTAGTCAGCTGAAAGTGATCACAAATGTCTAAAATTCCAGGTGTTCCAGAAAACAAAGCTCAAAGTTCCACTGTCTAGATTGCTTTGAGCCTTTCCTGCTCTGTATTAAAAAGTGGCTACCTCTCTGGTGGCTTGGAACTGTACATCTTTGTCATCAATATATAAAGAGAATAATCATGTGTTAAGAATGTATGTGGGGGGGACTGGAAAGATGGCTCAGCAGTTAAGAGCACTGGTTGTTCTTGCAGAAGAGCCTGGTTCGAATCCCAGTACCCACATGGTGGCTAACAACCAGTTCCAGGGGATCAGATGCCCTCTTCTGTCCTCCGTGGGCACTGCATGACATGGATGCACTTACACACATGCAGGCATAACACTCATACACATAAAATTTTAAAAAAGAAAAGAATGTGTGTGTGTGTGTGTAATTAATTGTCAGTGTGCAGAGGTTATGAGAAGGCCATGAGGAGGGAAGAAGAGATCTTAAGGGAGGGAATAACAGAATTCATGTGCCATGAAAGCAGAAGAATTCTGTGGGGTAAACAGAAGACCAGCAGGAGAGAGGTAGAGGGTGGGGTAGGACGGTAGGAAAGGGGCCAAAAAGAAACAAATAAAATGGGCATACAATGAGAACACCGTAATGAAACCTATTACTCTGTATGCTAACTTAAGAATTAATTTCAAAAAGAATATATATTTGTAATACTGGGGATTGAACTCAGGGCCTTGCTCAGGCTAGGTAAGCACTCTGCAACTGAGGTATATCCCCAAGTCCTGATTTTTATTATTTTACAATGGAGTATTAGAGAAATAGCAATGATCAGTGTTTAGACTGGATTTTTTAAAAGATCTTACTTATTTTTATTTTATGTGTATGGGTGTTTGCCTACATATATGTGTGTGTGTGTATGTGTGTGTGTGTGTGTGTATGTGTGTGCACTATCTGCATACAGTGCTCTCAGAGGCCAATAGGGGATGTTGGGCCCACTGAAATAGGAGTTCTAGACAGTTGTGAGCTGCCATGTGGGTGCTGAGAACTGAATCTCTGCAAGAGCAGCCAGTGTTCTTAGCCTCTGAGCCATCTCTCCAGCTTCTATATTGGATTTTTAGTCGCTGTTAGATGATAGCGTTATGAACTAAATGTTTGTGTCTTTCTTTCTAGGTTCATCCAAGACTGGTTTTCAGAATGGAAGCAGGTGGCCAGAGTGGATTTCTCTACAGTGTTGCCTCGTTCCATTACTCTTTATATCTTTTCCTTTCTGAATCCAAAAGACTTGTGTGCAGCTGCTCAAGTCAGCTGGCCCTGGAAGTTTTTAACTGAACAGGTTTGCTCCTTGTCACTTCCTAGTAATAGGACACAAAGACAATTGTAGTTTGTAATGAGTCCACTGGGGTGGCTTTCCCTGTGAAACCGTAGCTGAAACACAGTTAAGTTATCCTTAGGAGAAAAGCATGGAGGGCTGGGGAGAAGATGGCTCAGTGGGGGAAGTGCTTGCCGCACCAGTGTGAGGAGCTGAGTTTGGATCCTCAGACCTCAGGTAAAGCTGGGCCTGGTAGTGCACATCTGTAACTCTGTGCTTCTCCAGCAAGATGGAAGGTAGAGACAGGAATCCTTGGAAACTCATAGGTCAGCTAAGCTGGAGGAAGCAATGGTGAATAGCAAGAGACCCTGTCTTAAACAAGGCGGCATCTAGTGTTGTTCTCTGACCTCCACTGGCACATGAATACTCATACTTACATGCATGAACATGCGTACGCATGCACACATACACACACACCATACACATACATACACACAAAGATTTTAAAATAGAGAAAAGTGAAATTCAGTACCTTATTTTTTATTTAAAAGTTTTGTGTGTTTTTAAATTTTCTTTTTAAAAAATGTGTATGAGAGTTTTGTCTGCATGTATGTATATGCACAATGTGTATGCCTGGTGCCCTTGGAAGTCAGAAGAGGGTATCAGATCTCCTGGAACTGCAGTTATAGGCAATTGTGAACCACCATGTGGGTACTGGGAACCAAACCCACATCCTCTATAAGAGCAGCAAGTGCTCTTAACCACGGATCCTGCTCTCCAGTCCCATTTTTTCTTTTTCTTTTTCTTTTTTGGTCTTTTTGACACAAGGTCTCCCTGTAGCCCAGCTGTCCTGGAACCACTATGTAGACCAGGCTGGCCTCTATCTCTCAGAGCTCTCCCTGCTTCTGCCTCCCAAGTGCTAGGATTAAAGGCATGTGCCACCACATACTGCTCACTTTTTCTTTTTGATGCTGAGAATCAAACCAAAGGCCTCAAAATCTCCAAGTCAGTACTCCATCACAGAGCTAAATCCCAGCCCTAGTAACTTACTTTGTAATTCTGGCTATATATAGCATTCTAATAATTTGTTTACTTTTATTGAGACCTTGGAATATTTAATGTAATTATTTAGAAAACATTTTTTTCTTGGTTATAGAAGTTCATTTTTTAAAAAAAAATTATTTAATTTAAAAATTTATTATTTTTATTTTCTGATGCGTGTTAAGTGTATTTCCTGCATGTATGTAAGTGCACCTGTGTCATGCAATGCCATTGGTGATCAGAAGAGGGCATTCGATTTCCCCTAAAACTGGAGTTAGGGACACTTGTTAGCTTTGATGTGGGTGTTGGGATTTGAACCTGGGTCTTCTACAAGACCAGCCAGTGCTCTTAACTGCTGAGCCATCTTTCCAGTCTCAGAAGTTCATTATTCCCTCTAAAAAATTATTTGTTTGTTTGTTTACTTATTTATTTTTATTTTATGTGTATGAGTGTTATGCCTGTCTGTATGTAAGTGCACCGGTGTTGTGCAGTGCCTGAGGAGGACAGAAGAAGGTGTCTGATCCCCTGGAACTGGAGTGACAGATTGTTGTTAGCTGCCATGTGGGTGCTGGAAATCTAACCCAGGTCCTCTGCAAGAGCAGCCAGTGCTGAGCTATCTCTCCAGCCCCAAAGTTTCAAGAGCATGAATACTTAGTTCATTATTCTTTATGAAAAACAATTTGCACTTTGGTTTTTATATGGTGTTATTTTATCCATAAAAATTCAATTCTAAAAAATTGGTACAAAGCTTCACCTGAGTCTGCTGACACTTGCTGAGGAATATTACAACAGCTAAAATCAGCATCTTCAGCCATTGATTCTGCCTCTGGTCTAAGTGTCTCTTCATTGTCCTTTAAGAGTTAACAGTGTGACAGAACTCATGATTTAGTTGTAGACAAGTGGGGAATGTCCTTTACTTCCTTCTGTAGATTATGCCAGGTGTCTAGGGATGACTGTGTTGAGATCTTTTTCTCAGACAACTGTGCTCAGTGGAGGGCCTCAGGCATGGACCAGCCAGGAGTCCTTGTTTTATGACCTGTTACTAGGCTCTTCCGACCCAGGTGCACTTGTATAATCCCTTGTTCGTATCTTTTTACCCTTAGTGTCTCTACATCTATACACCTAAGATATCCTCTAAAGGGAACATGGTGGTTGTCCTTTATTCCTTGTTGTTCGACATTTGGCAATCTTTTATTTTTAAAAAAAGTTTTGTTTTGTTTTTGTGGGTACAGGGGATCAAACTCAGGGCTACCTCCTATCTCACTACAGGAGTCCTGGGATCACAGATACATGCAGCTGTGCCCAGTTTTACATGTGTTTTGGGGATCAAAACTCAAGTCTTCATGCTTGTGTGGGAGCACTTTACCCACTGAGCCATCTCTGTAGCCTCAAACATTGATTTTTTAAAAAATTTGTTTGTTTTTGATTCAGGGTCTCCCTGTAGTCTCAGCTGTCCTGGAACTAGCTTTGTATACTAGACTGACCTTGATCTCAAAGAGATCTGCCTGCCTCTGCCTCTTGAGTGCTGGGATTAAAGGCGTGTGTCATCATGTCCATCTCCAGACCTTGATTTTTTTTCAAACCTTGATTTTTAACCAAAGTGTTTGGTCTATTTAAAGTTATATAAATGCTAACATATTTGGGTTGGAACCCATCTTCCTATTTTCATTTATTTTTAATTAATTTATTATTTTTGAGACAAGGTCTCATGTATTCCAGTGGAGCCTTGAACTTGCCATGTGGCTGAGGACGGCTTTGAGTTTCTTGCTTCACCTCCTGAGTACTTCCTAGTTTTCATTAGTTCTTATGCTTTGTTTTCCTTTTCTTCTGTCTTCCTTTAACTTAATTAAATATTTTTGATTATTACTTTCAAATTGTAAAGTTTTTTTTATAACTACCACAGAAATTATGGTATGTACCCTACATTATTGTATTACTTCCAAGACAAAACAAGGGAATTAGAACCCT